GGTGTTTATGTTTTTTGCCAAATAATAGCCAATGCGTACTGTGAGACCGTCTCAATTTCTTTGCATTGAATGCCACAAATGTGTTTGTTAAGAGCATTCCGAGGAGCATTCACTTGTTATTTGTCACGAATGCCGCTCACAATGAGACAAACTTCTATTTCCAATTAGAATCTTTATTTGTGTTGTTGAATGTTTATTTTTGATTCCTTCTAGCAATAAGTTCTGCTGGGTTGCCAAAATCAATATATTTCATTTTTTCTAGCAATAAGTCCTGTTAAGATACCAAAATCAGTGTATTCGATGAATAAGAACTTAAAATAAATAGCAGCTAACAGTTATTGCCAACAATTTTTAGAAATAGTCATTAAAAAGCACATTTGAAGACTAACGGATTGTGGGTCCGCGCGCGAGCGTCCTCTCCAAAATAATTTGCGCGAGCTCCGGAAGGTTAATATGATTAGAACTAAACTAATCGAGTCGGGAATACCCAAATATTTATGGGGAAAGGCTTTGAAGTGTTCTGTGAACGAGTTGAATAGAACACCAACGTCAGCGCTTCGTAGAGGTCAAACCACATCGCAAATATGGAATAATAGAAATGATATCAGCAAAATGAGAATTTTTGGTTTGAACATGGTACAATGTTTTGCCCAAAAGAAATAAGTTGGAGCCAAGGTCAAGAAAAGCAGTGATGGTAGGAGACTGTGGTGTTGGTTACAGGTTGTGGCTGTCAGATGAAGAAAAAATTATTCGTTCGAGAGATGTTCACTTTGACGAGACTATCATGGAATATAAAATAGAAAAACAGCAAGAAAATAAAGATACACATGAAAATGTAGTTATTGAGAAAAACGAAATAGGAAGTAACAAGAAAACAAACAAAATCAAAATGAGACAGAGAATATTGGAGACATTCACGATTCTGAAGAGAGTGATCAAAGTAAGTATGAAGATATGCCACGAGTCGAAATAACAAGATCAGGTAGAAATGTAACAATACGAAAGAATTTAAGTGACTATGAGTTATATGTAGCTTATGGTTTGCTATCAGAAAACGAAGAAGAAGCAAAGACATATAAAGAAGCTACAAAATCTCAAGAATGGCAGCAAGCCATTGAAAACGAATTAAATTCTCATAAACAATTGCAAACTTGGACTTCAGTTCATTTGCCAGAGGAAAAAGTAGCTATTGATACCCGTTGGGTATTTAGAATTAAAGAGGATGCAAAGAAAAAAGCCCAATTGGTTGCCAAATGTTTTTAAGTACCAAATGAGGAAGAAGAATTCACCTACGCACCAGTTTGTAGGCTTTCTTCAATCAGAATTTTAATATCAGTCTCAGTTCAAAAAAATTGTAATCTATGCAAATCGATGTAGGTACCTACAGCGTTTTTAAATACTAAAAAACCGGAATGACTTGAGTGTGAAGCCCGGGACACATATATCATGCATTCTTCCGATCCGACTCCGATCATACAATCAGGGTCCTTATTCTTGGAAAAGGGAACAGCGTTCCCAAGGAGAACAAGTGTTCCGCTGCTCCCCTGTTCCAAGAATAAGGACCTTGATTGTATGATCGGAGTCGGATCGGAAGAATGCATGATAGATGTGTCCCTGGCTTAACTCAAAATTAAATCGTGCTCTATATGGTTTACGTAATGCACCAAAATGTTGGAACATCAAGTTTACGGAAGTAATGTTGCACCTGGAGTTCAGAAGATCTAAATACGACTATTGCTTATACATCAAGATGACATGTATTTAGTGCTTTTTGTAGATGACGCCCTATGAATTCAGAGTTAAGAACTTGACAGAAGTGACTTCATTCCTAGGAATGGGAATAACAAAAACAGATGATGGACTAAAATACACAAACAAAGATGATTTTGAGATTACTAGAAGAGTTTAATATGACAGAATGTCTTTCCATAGCAACACCAATGGAACAAAATTTTCAAATGGAAGAAGATGAGCAAGTCTTAGAAAATGTTCCTTACAGAAGGCTGATATGTAGCTTAATGTATTTATCAGTAGACCAGATATTGTTTTCAGTGTATCTTATTATTTAAGCCGATACTTAGACAAGCCGACAATGCAGTTATAATTCAGAAAAGAAGACAGTGGTTTAGAGACGAATTTTTTAACCTCAATTCTTAATGTTGAAGTTTGACTTCACAGACGTCATTTTTTTGGTACTTTTTTGTCCGACCGTGAAGTGAGCGTACAAAAAAGTACTTTTTTCTACTACCGTGCGTAAAGTACTCACTTTACGCACTAGTGCGTAAAGTGATTCACTTCACACACTAGTGCGTAAAGTAATGTCAATGACAGATGTCGACACTGTCAATTTAGCATTTTTCTGGTAAATTACTACTAGTGCGTGAAGTGAAAATTCTTTACGCACTAGTGCATGAAGTATTTGTCTAAATTAATTTTTTTTACACATATTTAATTGGTAGTAGAAAAAAATTTGTATGCAATACGTGCGCAAAGCACCTTTTTTCACTCATGTGATTGTCGCACTCGCCTGCGGCTCGTGTGTCAAAATTCACATTCGTGAAAAAAGGTTTCCATTACACACTTGTTGCGCATAAATAACTATTTTGTACGCTCACGGCCGGACAAAAAAGTGACGTCACAGAAATTTAACGTTGACAACCACAAAGCCAGTAAGCACAACAATCTAATTTTACGTTTTTCTACATCTAATCCTTTTTGACAATATTCATTTCCTTGATTCCATCGTTTGAACACCATTTGCGGTAAAAATCGCATGTTTTATTCGGAGAAAAGCACTTTTTGTGGCTCGTCTAAAATTGTCAAACATTTAGTCTCGCCACAAAAAGTATCACTTATACTCCTAATAAAACTACTTCTTAAGGAATACTTATGGAAGTAGGTACTTCATTACCGTACATATTTTTCTACCCAAACTATGTAAATTATGGCTTTGTAGAAAACTAATTTACTGTGCCTTCAAATATCTGTTTACCGAGAAAGGGCATCAATCTCTTCTTTGGCACTTTTTTTGTAGAGCATACCTTTTTAATGTTTAATAAATCCTCACATGGGCCAGTCCTAAAATATGGACCCATTTATTTTTATTTTTACCCATACAACATCTTATATTTAAACCCAGAATGTGGCACTAAATAATTCATAACAGAATACTCACAAGGGAACAAAAATCATCTGGATTTTTTATTTTCGCTACCAAAAAAAAAGCGAATTTATATAATAAAAAATCTCCTTTTGATGGGAAGATAACCTAGATTAAGCCAATCACCGAAAATTGGTTTGTACTTTTATCCTATCATCTCTCCGAGTTTGCGGTTGAGGAGCAATGTTCACCTTCGGCCATCAGTACAAAATTGCTTTCATTATGTTCCTGTAAGAAAAAAATGATATTGCTTTGCTCTGGAATTTCTTGCTAAAGGGCTGGTAATTGGTAGAGATCTCTGAGGTAGAGATGTTTTTGTTTGAAAAAGAAAAGAGATTTTCATTGAATGTTCCCCGATCACCAGTATAAATTCTAATATTAAATTAAGTATATTCAAAATCAATAATTAAGACACTTTATTTTGTAAAACAGAAAATGAAACCGAAAATAAATTATAATGTTTATGGCTCCTAATTTCACTTTAATGACTCTGGTAATTACTAGAAGGTATAAAAGGTGAATAAGGTCTAGAAGAATTTATATCTGACCAAGGCTTTTAATAATCTTCAATAATAATTAGCGGGCAAACCTTGGAGGATTTGCTTTTTTTATGTTGTTTATCTTTTGAATTTAAACTTTTTTTTTTTGTTTGGGTCTTTTTAAGGGCTGTTTATTTAATTAATGCCGTTGAAGGGAGATGAAAATTAAGTGAACCATAAAATATTTAATATTTTACCAGCGATTTTATGTATTTTTTCAATATGATACCTAAATCAAATAAAACGAATAGGTAAGAAATTTAAATGTTTATTCGAAAATATTTAATTTAACGTGTACAAAATTATACTTACATTTTATATTTACAAAATATTATTTACATATAAATTATGCATGTGACTAGTATACACAATACAAAACAGAACCTATCAATGTGATAGAATAATTCAATATGGATGGAAGCATGTTAGCATGTTACAAAAATAATGAGTATCTATCTACTTATTGAAGTTATTATTTTAAACAAAAATAGATAAAAAATAAATATTAACACCAAAACCAGCATTTTTCTATCATTACTGTGTAAAAAAGCACTTTACCTGAAAAATGCAGAAACCCAATTTACACCATCATATTGGAGTAGTGTAGATAAAAATGCTTTTAGTGGTAATAGGTGTAACTGTAATGGGAATTTATCCAATATATCACATTTTGTACAAGAAAGGAAATGCATTTCTGATAATGAAAAATGCGTAAAGTACTTAGGATTTTATTTACTCAAGAATTAATGGGAAAAGAGTAACTTGGAGTTGGTGATTTGTTAGAAAACAATAACCTGGAGCAGATCAAATTTGCAAAATAGTAACACGATATCAATAACAGTAATCCATATACCAATATAAGAATATAGAAGTTCACATTTCAAGTGGGGTGAATATATTTTTACAAAAACAAAAGTTTTGAAATGAGTATCAACTTGATATTACTCGAGGGACGTGTAATATAGATACATTTTATTCCATAGGTTCTATTCAAAAGTAAGAAAAAAACAGTGAATTATGAGAATGAGCGTTGAGCGAACCAAAGTTTGCTCAAGTTACTAAGAGCAATTTTTTTTTATATAATAAGATTGGTTACTCCTTTCCTCTAGTAAGTTAGAAAATACGACACAAAATTCACTGCCCCTTCTTACTTTTGGATACTATGAAAAAGAATGCTATTTTGGGTTAGTTTTTATAATAAGTACATTTCTCATGAATTAAATAAAATCTAATATCACAGATTTTTAATAAATAAGTCATAAAAATCACATTTGACCAAATTTTTTCCAGGAACCATCACTCTACTGTAAAAACAAATCATTTGGACAATGTCGATAGTCACTCCTGATGCCATATTCACTATTAACTGTACTTCTCAAAGTATGCACCCTACAAGGTTCCATATTACTGTAATAACTAAATTCGGACGCTACTGGGACTGTAAACGAATTTTCTCTGTTTCTCGGTGGTTCCATTGGAGGATACGGACAGTCACTTTCCACATAAGGCACTCTACTATTTGGCGTGCCAAGTTCTTGGTACAAATTAGCAACAGGCACTGGTATTTGATACATATCCTCATATAAATTCTTTTCATAAACATGTTCGGTGGTCTTCTTTTCGAAATTATAGTCTTTGAGAGCTACGCGCACTTTTAGGCGATATCTGAATAAAAAGAGTCCAAAAGCTACCAAAATAATTGTGGCACTTATGCAAATTGTCACTATAATCACTTGATGGTTGGAAGAACTGAAGCTGCATCCCAAATCTTCGATGTTTAGGGATTTGAGGGTTTGTTTTTGAAGATGTTTTGGGCCTGAGCATTCAATGTTGGTTAGATTTTTTTGAATCGAAAGTTTCAGTAACCATAATAACTGACATTCACATTGAATAGGATTTTCCAAAAGATCCAACTGACGAAGTTTGTTCCAAGAGGCCACAGATTCTGGAATATTTTCCAAAGAGTTTTCTCTCAAAATTAATTCTTTAAGATTGTGCAGTCCCATAAAAGCACCATTAGTCAATTTTTGAAGCTTTTTATTTCTAATTAAAGTCACTGTTTCCAAATTGACATTATCACTAAAAGCCTCATTGCCAATACTTTCCAAATTTTTGCATTCAGTAATATCAATAGTCCTAAGATTTTTCAAGCCTTTAAAAGCATTAGTTTTTATACTGACAAAGCTATTTTGACCAATTACCAAAGCTTCCAAACGCTCTAAATTCCTCATTGGTTCTGTTGGTACTTGTTTCAGTCTATTATCAGCAAAATTTAGGGTTCTAAGGCTTCCCAGGCCTCTAAAAGCTTCACTGCTGATATTGCCTATATCAGCACTACCAACATCTAAAACTGCTAGTTTATTGAGGCCTCTAAAAGCATCATCTTGAAGAGAAGTTAGGGCATTCAAGCTAACGTGAAGTTCTGCTAAGTTCAGAATAACTGAGAAGCTTTGAGTTGGCACTGAAGTTAATAAATTATCGTCCATATAAAGAACTCTAAGGTTTAAAAGGCCTTGAAAAGCTAAATTGTCAATTTTTGCAATTCTGTTCTGGCCTAAGTTGAGCTCTTCTAGCTTGGGCATTAATGCAAACGCTCCTTGGGTGAGTTCTTCCAGAAAATTTTCCCTTAAATTCAACACAGTAAGGCTTTTGAGGCCTTGGAATGTTTTGTTGGTCACTAAAGATAGCTTATTTTTTTCCAGGTGAAGCTCCTGCAATTTTTCTTGGTGCAAAAAGCTTTTGGTGGGAATGTCTACAAGTTGATTACTGGACAAATCGACGTATTGTAGATCGTTGTAGAATTGAAATGCAGCGTCTACGACTTTGATATTGTTATTTCTAAGCACTAGTCGTTGAATTGCAGGGTTTAAAGTTATAGGGATGATATCCAGTTTATTACGTTCACATTCTACGACGAAGGTTTGATCATCGCATCTACATCCTAGAGGACAACCTAGAAAGCTGCCTACAGTGAGGTGTTGAGTGAGAATGGCGAATAAGATGAAGAAGAGCATCTTGACGGTGACAATCTGGAAATAAATAAAAAGAAAATTAAATCATTGTTAAATCAAATTACTCGTTTAATCTAAGATCTACTCTTTTCATAATTCAAAAAGTATTTAATTGAACGCAATATTAAAGACCGTGAAATAGCAATTACCTCGTCGATTTCACTTAACAATATCCTCGACATTATCGGAACAGAAAAATAATTGTTAACCCAAATAACGGTAATACAGTTTCATAAAAGAAAAAGCCAATGCAGATAAGCGATCAAATGAAAGTTCGATGTTCGCCAAAGCCACGTTTTCTCGTGTTCAGTTCTCACGGATTGACTGTATAGAGACTTTTGTTTGACCCTTTAGATTTCTACCTACCTGTCCGAAAGAGCAAAGGGATTTTTTTTTTTAAATTGAAATTTCAGGGTGATTATTGTGCATTGTGGGGGGTGGGAATTGTGAATATACCTATGCCCATGAGAAAGTGAATGTTAAAGATTTCGAGAAAAAAAGTTAAAATTGGAAACAAATATTTGTAATAAAAATAAAACGCTACGAATAGAAAAATCAAAAAAAATAAAATAAATTGAGAGTATACGCAAGTAATAAAAGAATTCGGAAAAAGTTACAAAAAAAAAACATAAATTCATAAAATAGACTTACAGAAAACACAAAAAATAAGTTCCTCTAATAAAATCAATCGTCAAAGACCACTTAACATTATTCCATATAAAAAAAAATCGGCACTAAGGTACGCGGTACCACCAGAGAAAAAGTACTAAATCGAACTACTGACTACTGAGATTCTCTCAAGAGTGCGCTCTCCGCAAGGTCTCTACCGGATTATGACCGCAGACTGACTGACTGACGGACGGACTGTAACTTCCCCAACTTCTTTTGCTACCTGTTGACTATTGAGAGGTGGTCGGCCTTTTTTTTTTGGAGGTAGGGGGTAAAAATTTTAGTAGTGGGATTTTTTATGAAGGAAGTTATTGGATTTGGGTCATAAAAATGTTGTACAATATTATCCGCATTTCATATTCAAAGTAGAGATAAACCTATTTTATAGCTTAGTTTTCAGGAATAGGTGAGGTTTGTTTCTATTCTTAGTCAAAATTTGACACAGTCTAATCGGGGCTTATAAATGAACAATGTTAAGTGTATAAGGGTAATAAAAAATAAATAGTTTTGAAATAACAAATTCGGGGCGTCCGAACACTTGGAGGGAAAGTTAGCCACTCAGCTAGCCCCAAACTTGTCTAAAACTATAAAAAGTTAATAAATCAAAGAAAAGAAACCCATAATTTAAAAAAAAAAAAAAATATGAATGAAACCAATTTTAATTGAACTATTATAGATAAAAATGCCAATATGGAACTAATAAATTGCACATCCTTGGGAAATAGATCAACTCAAGTACTACTGAAATGCTGAAAAGAGTGTAATGAAATTTACAAAAATTTCTTAAATCTAAATGAAAATCACCTAGAAACTCGTTGCCCCACTTATTGCATTTTTATGTTGCAATAAGATTCAGTTTCAATCAGAATTGAAGCAAATCAAATTATTATAATATCACATTCAGGCTAGACACGTAGTTATTAGTTAATGATTAATTTATTAATAAATAATGATACTGCTTTATATTTATTAAGTAATTTTGGTTTAACGGAAATGAACTTCCCAGACCCAATTAGTTTGAAGTTATAAATCGTTTATTATTTCTTTAAATTCTAATAACTGAAACTGTATTTATGAATCATTTAGGAAAGACAAAGTTATAACAAAATTCAAAATTACGATTAAATTCATTTGCATCAGTAAAAAAACCAATAGAAAAAATGATAAAATTGATTAAAATTAAAAACGCAAAAGAAGCTATATTTATTAAAATCGAATTGGATTGAAGAAGCAGCTAAGCATGCTAAGAGGAAAATAAGAATATGAATAAAAGGAAGGTAGGAAATTAGAAATGAAAAAAATAAGTTCATGCACTGTTTTATAATCTAATTTCATGGATTTAAGATTAAGCTGTGGAGTAGCATCTTAGTAATTTGTTATTGACCCATTGGGAGAAATTCTATGGGCAGCACCAATGGTTGTTTCTATAAAGTCAAATAGTGTTATAGAAATACGGTAGCGGCACTGCAAACAGATTGCAACGATGGACATTTATGTTAAAAATTTATGAACTTAAATCTGCAGAATTAGGACAAGCTGTTATTTTATCACAGCTCAAACATGTCTTGGCCAACCACTAACAAGCAACTCACAGCAGATGAACTGCTGAATCATATTATTTTAATTGATTATAAATTGTCAAATAAAGTTTGATTTTTGGGAATCGAATAGTAATTTCAGAACTAATCGTTCCCAAACTCTTGGCCGACACTCCCAGTAGGTTCACTGAATTTTGTACAGAAATGTTCACGTTGTGTAGAACACACTCATTTGATCTTCCTGGACAATTTCAACTAAATCATCGGAACATCTTATATTGCTCATGTAGCTCCCGTAAATGAAAGCCACTACTTTTTTAATTAGTGATGATAATAATTCTAAGTGGCCTAGAAGTTTTTACCACAATAAATTTCATCAGACCTTCCATTATTTAAAAACTACTAGAAATTGTATCAAGATCTGAAATCGGTCAATAGAATATAATGGTCTATGAGAAAGAAGTTTAAAGAATTTTGTTTTAGGAAACGGATTGAAATTATTATAATAAGCCTGCATTCCCTCCAGTCAACCAGGCTTTGATGAGAAATACAAACGACCTCTCACAAAATTTGAAACGAACATAAATCTACTGCGTCAATTATTCCTATCGCGGTTCAATGATCCAAATTCTGGTTCTCTTCAATGGCAAGTTTTCATACAAGCTGGTGGAAATTACAAGAAACAATTGTCCTAAATAATATACTGACAGTCCTGTCCAATCTGACAATGGCAAGTTTTCAGAAATCGCCACCAATGTGAATTTTTCAAGTTTTTGGATTTTTCTCCAAAACATCCGGGTTTTTTGAAAACTTTCAAGTTAGGTACGGCATGAACCATATGCTATTACATGTCCCAGGAAAATTCAATATGCTTGGCTAGATCCAGTGAAAAAGGAATTAGACTACTTATTAGCCCAAAATATCAATACACCTGTCCTCGATATGCACGTACACGTACCTGGGCCGGTATTCTGGTTCTCAAAAACGCTCACCGCTTTCTAGTCGCTCGGCACTTTAAATGCAAATTTACATTGAAAGTGCCGAGCGACTGAAAAACGGTGAGCGTTTTCGAGAACGAGAATACCGGCCCTGGAATGGCCCGACCTATCTATAAAATTAGGCAAATTGAGATGGAGAATGTGGGGGATACCTATCTCTATTTACCTTATGGGCCAATTATCAATGTCTTTCCTTGTCTAAAAAATTTATATTTGAGGTTAGGAATATACCAAACCTAACAGCAATGAACTAGAGAGAGGAAGTTATCCCCCACTATATAGCTATATCTTTGGACGCACTAAGAGAGATGACAAATGCCATATCCGATAACGGTCGGTGCCATTTCAGGTACGTGTGGTTTATAGTTCATTGTTGGATGCAAAAAGTGGATACTGGCAATTAGCACTAGATGAGGAATAATGAGGAAAGTTGAAATTTAACAGCATTTCTTACTCCTTGGGGTCGATTTAAATTCCTTAGAACTCCGATGGGCTTAATTAGTTTTATTAGAGACGAATTTTGCCGACGAGGTGACGAAGCCTTATTGGATATTAGCAATATTGAAAAAGTTGTCGATGATATCTTGTTGTATGATGAATCATTTGAAGACCACTACCGACGAATTAATATGTTGCTCGAACGTTGTAGATCCGAATGGATCACATTGAATCCAGAAAAGTTTGTTGTTGCACAACAAGAACTATCCCATGTTGGGCATATTGCTATAAAAAAAATCCGGTCCCACAGAATATTACCCAGCTTAGATCTTTCGTAGGACTTGTAAACCAACTAAGGTCTTTCTCCTCAGAAATAAGCGACACAGCTAGACTACTTAGAAAACTTCTAAAGATAAAAAATCAATTTATTTGGAGTGAAAATCATCATGAAGCATTTAACAATGTCAGCAAAGCTTTGGCAAATCCCCCTATTCTAACTCATTTTGACTGTACTAAACCGACAGCTCTGCACGTAGATGCATCAAAAGCGAATGGATTGGAATTTGCTCTACTGCAAGAACATGGAGATGGATGGAAGCTGATACAATATGGTTCCCGTTTTTTATCTGATACAGAAACAAGATACGCGATGATCGAGATAGAACTCTTAGGCATAACGTGGGCTTTGATGAAATGTAGGTTATACCTCTTATGTATACAGTCATTCGCCATTGTAACCGAACACAAACCACTTGTAGCTATCCTAAATAAATTCGGTCTAGATTCAATCGAAAATCCGAGACTACAAAGACTAAAAGAAAAGTTGTCAGGATACAGATTTGAAGCGGAATGGCGAAAAGGAAAGGAACACCTCCTGATGCTCTTTCTCGCGCACCAATTTCAAATCGAATGGAAAAAGATTTACTGCCTTTCTGGCAGAAGAAGCAACAAGTCACATGTAAACCATGATAATCCAACAAATATCTTTGGCAGACAATACATCGGATGAAGTCCGAAGTTCTCATCTGAGAGATCCTATGATTCATTTGCAACTTCAAGCTTTAGCAAAAGAAGACGAGGAATAGAAGCTGCTTGTGGACCGGATTGAAAATAGTTTTCCAAAAAATGAAAAAGAACTCGAAGCGGTTTCATTGCCTTTCTGGAATATTCGAGAAGAACTTAGCTACGATAATGAGCTAATAGTATTTAGTTGAGGTAAATAGAATTTTGATACCCAACGCGTCGCGCAAAATAATTGTAGAGAAACTACACGCTTCCTATCAAGGCATTGATAGAACACTACGAAGAGCTCGTCAATCTGTATATTGGCCCGCAATGGCAAGTGATGTAAAAAAATGCATTGAAGCATGCCAAT